ATTTTAGTCCTCGTTCAAAATTTTATGTTTGTTATGTCCTGATTTTTTTTCCAATCAACTGCATCTACTATATATGTCGTTCATATTCCCAAAAGTGCAAGGAAGTGTCGTAGTATAATCCGGATATGAAGAATATAGGTTAGAGAAATTCTGAGAAATCAAAGGCTCTTTCCATGTCAATATTGAACAATGAGATATATAACGACCAATCACCGTCGCACTAAAAAATACAATCAGGAACTGTTGCTCGTTGATCAATTTTTGTTTTTCCACCATTTTAGAGACACTATTGTCGACCCTCAGTTTGACAAAGCTGAGCAATAAGTTGATTCAAGCTACCTCAAAGAAAATGACTGTCAACTTTGTCGTCTAGAAACTAAATTGGACTTGACAAATTTGTTTTTCCTTTTCTATTTCTTAATGAATAACATAAAATCTTGTGTTCTATGCGCGGAATATGAAAATATATAAACTTTCTTATAATAAATAATAGTACTCTATTTTGAAAGTAATTTTTTCCCACTAAGGAAAAAAAAATTATTAGCACATGCAATGACACGTTAAAAAAATTTGTTTGTTAGGGCATGGTGAAAGATTCTCAATTATAAATCCAGAAAACTAACTATTTTATATGTAACTTGTGTTCTATGCGCGGAATATAAAAGTTGATATAAATTTGTTTAGAATAATAAATAATAGTATTTTCTCAAAATAAATAAAAGAAAATATTTGTACACGCATTTTGAAATTATTCTTTTCCCCGTCGATTATTAGCACGTGTTAATGATGTGCACGTTAATGAATTTTGTTTGTTAAGGGACCGTCAGATATTCTCAATTTATATTATTATTATATATATTATAAAAGATGGGTTCGTGTTGTTGTATGTGTGACACGTGTTTCTTATTTTTTGGAGTAAAAAAACAAAAGGTCACGACCATTAGATCATTCTTCCTTTCTTGGTTTCAGATTCATTGAATCATTGCAATTGCAGTAGACGTATCTCTTCGGCTTTATAAAAACCTGTCTCCTCTATTCCTTCCATTCACACTTCACACAATCCTAGCAAATCAACTATGATGGCAGTGATGGAGAGAAGAACAAATTACGAACAAGGAAAAATACACCAACAAAATTCAGTATCAATGAACAGAATGACAAAAGTGGCATTAGAGTTATCCGGCCAAAACAAACGAAGAAAGAGATCGAGTAACCAAGGATTATCACATACAAGGAGATCGACTAGAAGTGTACCCAAGTAAAGAAGAAGAATCAAATTTCAGTGTAGAACGTATAAAAAAATAATGACGAAGTAACCGCGAAGACAAGGAATTCACCAACAATGATCCCACAAACACCAATTTCANACGAAACTTGTCAAGAAGTTGTGTGGATAACAATAATTCCAAATCAGTAATGAGAAGAGAAAAACACAGTAGAAAANCAANCCGATAAAGTCTGCACTAANGATAACAATAGCGAAAGAGAAATTATATCTTATAAGAACAAATCAAAANNAGATATCGAGCCATCAAGTATTACCATTGAGATTTGAAGTTTAGCCAAGGGAAATTAGGTTTCGGTGAGGATAGAAACANAATATGTCACAAATATATACATGAGAATCGATGAAGAAGAAGGAGAATTTTGAATTCTGAAGAATATATAAACTCCAATTCAGAAATCAAGTTTATGGTTTGGACAATTATACAGAAAAAAGGAAAAAAGTTAACGAGGAAGAAGAAGAAATTCTCTCGGTGAAAGATCAAGTAAGAGAGATTAAAGTATGTAGTTCATTATTCAAGTAACAAATTTATGATATGTATTTTCTTTAAACAATTATACGAATTAAGCGGTTATGCAATTTTTGATAACATTTTTGATTTGTTAGTCTATTCTGTATATTAAGGGGTTTTGCAATTTTTACTTAGCCAATTAAAAATAATACGAAGAAATGGCCAATAAATTATAGAAAGTTCTCTACCAAAAAATAAACGGTAGAAAGTTTATAAGCTTTTAAGAGTTTATATATGATTTATATGTAGTTATATATTAAAATGATAACAACACATTTGGGCTTCAGTTCTTAAGATTTAACACAACAAATAATATTATAAACTCTATAAATAACATTATCATAAACACCATACAAGATTGAATTACACAAATATTAAATAGAATTATGAACAATATTGTCATGATTTACGGTTTACAATTGCAGCATTTGAAACATCTTTCGGTTTAAAATATACTTCCTTCAGTTCTAATAAAAAATGTTTGGGAAAATTCACAAATAATAGATTATTATAATTTATATTTTATCACTTATCAAGCATTTTAAAAAAAAATGAAAAACTAATAATTAATAATAATAGAGTTATTTTTTTTTCTCTAATTTGTGTGCAAAGTTCNAAACATATGTTTTTATTAAATCAAAGAAAATTATTTAAGATATTTGATGCATACAAATATACTTCACAATTCATACTGTAATATACGATAAGCTATCATTTACCATCTAAAATAATAAATTTTTAACTGGTTGTTCCAAAATTTCAACTGGTGTTCACAATTATTTTCTTCCTTTATCAATCCTTTTTATAATTATAATAGTAAAGAAAATTTATAATAGTCCACGCCAAATTTTTGTTTTGTCAATTCTTTTGAAAATATAATATAATTTTTTTGTAATAGTCTGCGCATGCGCGAGTTATAATCCTTGTTTTATAAATTATTCAACCAAACTGGTTTTAAACCTTATCTAATCTATTACTTTATTTTCAGCCGACGTCGCCGTACTTCATCGAAACAACTGGTGTAATATCTTTTTCTCTACAAAATTATAAAATC